AAGTGAAAAATTGACAGATTGATTCAGGACGATCGTCGTATCACTCAGAGAGAAATTTCAAGCATAATCGGCATTTCACAAGAATGTGTGGGTCACATTATTGCTTTGCTTGGCTATCGGAAGATCCGTGCACGATGGGTACCCAGGAGGAGAGAACTGTGAGATGCTGGTTGCAGGAACAGAGTGTCGACTTCTTCCGTGATGGCTTCAGAAAACTTGTTCATCGTTGGCAGGAATGTATCCAATTGTCTGGTGTTTATGTGGAAAAGTGAATAGTGGTCATTAAAGAGCACATTCTAAGGATTATTTCTGCGTTTGATTTATTAAAATATTGCCATTCAAACCCAATTAACGAAGGTGGAGGCATTACTTTTCATTCAACCCTTGTAAATTGGGGCAGTTCATACTTTCAGCAACTAAAGTCTTCAATGCTAAGATAGCTTCCCTGCTGCTGTATGCTTCCAGCATCTGGATTGGGGGCCTCATATCAAAAATAGACCAACAGCAAATACAATTTTGGGGGGCCCTTTTCCAGCTCCCCAGATGTGTCCCATCCTGCGTCTATTACTTGAATCCGGGGAAGCACCCCTCTCCATAAGAGCCTGGTGGTGGGCACTTGAATATTGGCTCAAGATCAGAGGTTTTAGTTTAGCATCCGGTTTAATTCCTCACTTATCTCAGAATGAGAGATTTTTTATGGTATTTAGGTGTCCATGAGTAAGATCTACTTCCAGCAGCTCATGAAGCAAGAACTGTCTCTCTCCATAAGCTCCTGAACAGCCAAAGCCTAAATATGTAACTGTTGCCAAAACTCCCAGGCTCAGCTAGCTTCTTGGGAATGGCCCAACCAATCAGTTTCATGCTTTGCATTTTCAGTTAACACACTAATAATAATAATAATAATAATAATAATATAACATTGTCGAAGGCTTTCATGGCTGGAATCACTAGGTTCTTGTGGGGTTTTTTCAGGCTATAGGGCCATGTTCTAGAGGCATTTCTCCTGACGTTTCGCCTGCATCTATGGCAAGCATCCTCAGAGGTAGTGAGGATGCTTGCCATAGATGCAGGCGAAACGTCAGGAGAAAATGCCTCTAGAACATGGCCCTATAGCCCGAAAAACCCCACAAGAACCTAATAATATAACACTCAGCTACTGAATTTTTTACATGTCCTAACAGATTTTATATCACTATATGGAAGGGATCCTAGACTGTGGGATGTGTGAATATTTGGACATTGAGGAAGGCAACTCATACTCTCAATGCGCGCTTTTCAAAGAGCCAGCGCATGGAACAAGAACAACTGCACCCGCTACTAGGCTCACAAGTAAGCCAAGGAACAAGTCTCCAAAGAAATATTGCTGATAGAAGAAGGGAAATCTTGTTAAATATTGATGAAAGGCTGCAGCCTAATAGACTGTAAACATCTCCTGCCTTGGGACTTATGTAACTTTCCTGGAGAGTTTGGGTTTTTTCTTTCTTTGCATGTGACACTGAATGATAAAACAGGCACCGTCCTTTCTTCCCAAGCGCAAGCGAATCCAGGGCAGCATTTGTATGTAATATCGCACACAACTCTGAAAACAAATTATCGGCTGATTGCATCCCACCTTCCTCCACATGTGCAAACAGGATCCAGCAGTTGGGGAAAAGATGGACGTTCGGAGCCGTTGCTTGACATTTGCCTCACGCTCAGAGGCGGCCCTACGTAATTTTCAACGGTAAGCAAACAGTATTTGGCGCCCCCCCCACCCCACCCCAACCAATCACGATATATATTTTCTGTTTGTCGTGGGAGTTCTGTGTGCCATATTTGGTTCAATTCCATCATTGGTGGAGTTCAGAATGCTCTTTGATTGTAGGTGAACTATACATCCCAGTAACTACACTTGCCGCACTTGCTCCCTTGCCTGGCCCGCTTTGGGTCTGGAGGTGTGCCTGAAGACCCCGGCGTGTGCACCAAAAGTCACCTCTTCTCCTGACTTTCTCCTCAGCCATTGGGACCGAGAGAGAGAGAGAGAGAGAGAGAGACAGAGGTGGAGATGCCCACCTTTCCTGAAGGTAGGCGCAAAAACAAAGGAGGGAGCGGAGGTGGGAGATACCTCCAGCCGGAGGGGCTCTCTCTCTCTCTCTCTCTTGGTCCCAATGGCTGAAGAGAAAGTCAGGAGAAGAGGCGACTTTTGGTGCACACGCTGGGGTCTTCAGACACGCCTCCGGACCCGAAGCAGGCCAGGCGCGGATTGGGGAGAGGAGAGGAGGCGGGTGGAGCGCCGGGGGATCGGGAAAGGGAGCTGGTCATGGGGAAGGGATCGAACGCGGAGAACGATTGAGCGCCGGCTCTGCTCGCGCACCCGGTGGCCGGGTGGAGCAGGAACGAGAGGGGCTAGGCGAGGCTCAAGGGCCCGGCCCCTTTGGGAAGAGGATCGCCCGGCAGCGAGGCAAGAAAGCCGAGGCTCCCCCCGGACTGCTAGGGCTGTTGTGAGCCAAGGGGGCGCTCCTCAAGTGGCGGTCGAGGGGCATTTACAGAGGCGCCTCTGCGCCCCTGGCAAAAAAAGTGTTCTGCGACCGCTTACTTCGCGTAATGGACGAGCCGCCCATGCTCACGCTCAACAGAGATTTCAGGAAAGTGTGGGATTCCTATTCTGTGTACACCTTCAAGTTGCCTGTTAATGGCCCATGAATTTCACAGGGTTTGACGAGTCAAGAAATGCCCTCACAGTCAGGAAGTTCTTCCTAACGTTCAGGTGGAATCTCCAAGGAGTTTGAAGCTGAGAAGCCTTTCCAAGTTTCCTCTTTCCTCAATGGCTGTGAATGCCAGAGCAAACCACAATCCCAGTTCAAATGGCCTATGTTTTGAAGACTCAGGATCTTCCTCTGGTGCCAAAAGAACCGGTTTGAAGGCGCTTGAGACTTCCAACGTCGTTCAGGTTGGTCTGAACATGAAGCATAAGTCTCAAGGGTAAAAAACCTCAGAATTGGTGCTGAGAGGTAATTTAATCAGGGGCTTTTAGAGCCAAGTCTCTTACTCACGTCCATCTGATAGAAACTCTGATGGCAGAATAAAAAGGGAAGCACTCCCCTCCTCCAGGAAGAGGTGGAGCCAAACAATTGAGCTTGAGAAAGCAATTCAACTGGTGCAAACAACACTGATTGACAGCTATAAACAACCAATCAATCCAACTATACATAAGCAGGGTAAAAAGGTAGGATTAAGCATGATACAACAGTTTAAATCTTGCAACTAATAGTTCTACACATAGGTGGCACCACTCACGCCCACATATTTATACATGGCAATCATGTCTCCTCTCAGCTTTCTCTTCTTCAGGCTAAACATGCCCAGCTCCTTAAGCCGCTCCTCATAGGGCTTGTTCTCCAGACCCTTGATCATTTTAGTCGCCCTCCTCTGGACACATTCCAGCTTGTCAATATCTCTCTTGAATTGTGGTGCCCAGAATTGGACACAATATTCCAGGTGTGGTCTAACCAAGGCAGAATAGAGGGGTAGCATGACTTCCCTGGATCTAGACACTATGCTCTAGACGAAGGGCCCTCAAACTTTTTAAATGGAGGGCCAGGTCACAATCCCTCAAACTGTTGGAGGGACAGATTATAATTTGGAAAAAAATGACTGAATTCCTATGCACACTGCACATATCTTTTTTGTAGTGCAAAAAACATTTAAAAACAATACAATAATTAAAATGAAGAACAGTTTTAACAAATATAAACTGATTAGTATTTCAATTGGAAGTGTGGCCCTGCTTTTGGCTGATGAGATAGGATTGTTGTTGTTGGTGGTGGTGTTGCTGTGTGCTTTCAAGTCGTTTCAGACTTAGGTTGACCCTGAGCGAGGGCCGGGTAAATGACCTTGGAGGGCCGTATTCGGCCCGCGGGCCGTAGTTTGAGGACCCCTGCTCTAGACACTGACATCCTGTATGCTAATGGCTGGGTTGGAAACCAATTTGTCATTACCACTGTCAATACCACCAAAATTGCTTCTCAGAGCAAGCAATTCCAAAGCAACACATTTCTGCATTCTTGTTTTGGTTTGTTTTTTTGCCTAACGCATACTGTACACCAGTGTTTCTCAACCTGGGGGTCAGGACCCCTGAGAGGGTCGCGAGAGGGTTTCAGGGGTCACCAAAGATCATCAGAAAACACATATTTCTGATGGTATTAGGAACCCCTTTAGCAGAGAAGGGTGAATATCTCTCTGCCTCTTGTTCTCAGCAACTACAACTCCCAAATCTAAAAGTCTATTTCCCCCAAACTCCATCTGTGTTCATATTTGGGCATATTGAGTATTTGTGCCAAGTTTGGTCCAGATCCATCGTGGTTTGAGTCCGTAGTGCTCTCTGGAAGTAGGTGAACTACAACTCCCAAACACAAGGTCAATGCCCACCAAACCCTTCTAGTGTTTTCTGTTGGTCATGGGAGTCCTGTGTGCCAAGTTTGGTTCAATTCCATCGTTGGTGGAGTTCAGAATGCTCTTTGATTGTAGGTGAACTATAAATCCCAGCAACTACAACTCCCAAATGACAAAATCAAAAAACTGAATATCAGTGCCCACCAATTGTTTATTTGTTCAGTTTCTCTTAGTCATAGGAGTTCTGTTCCATAGTTGCTCTCGTTGATTGTAGGTTAACTATAAATCCCAGCAACTACAACTCCCAAATGACAAAATTAACCCCCCCAACCCCACCAGTATTCAAATTTGGGTGTATCATTTGTGCCAAATTTGGTCCAGTGAATGGAAATACATCTTGTATATCAGATATTTACATTACGATTCATAATAGTAGCAAAAGGACAGTTCTGAAGTAGCAACGAAAATAATGTTCTGGTTGGGGGTCACCACAACATGAGGAACTGTGTTAAGGGGTCGTGGCATTAGGAAGGTTGAGAAACAATGCTGTACACCTAAATGGAAAGTATATTCCAAAATGTACTGCTCTTCTCTATCCAATCACTAGATCAGACTTTAATAAAACTCACGGTGTGAAGAGCTGTCAGTGGCATCACGGTGTGGGCGATGTGGGGGTGGGAGCATGGAAGAGAGAAGCATTCGACACCGGTGAAGGTTAGACTGAAAATAATCCCGCTCGGGTTCTAACTATTAACAACACAATGCCACTTTTGAACTCATTCATCAAATGCACATTGGGAAAATTATTTCCGGTGCTCCCCGGTCCGGTGTCTGAAAGCATCTTTCACGTTGCCTGCACCACCAAAAACACCTGGATGCATCTACAATCTAGATCAGTGGTTAGCTTCTCACACTCTGAGGCCTTCTCACAGAAGCCCTACCTCACACAGAGGCCTCTCTCACAGCCTAAGGCCTATCTCACACTGTGAGGCCTTCTCTCACAGACTAAGTCAGTGGTTCTCAACCTTCCCAATGCCGCAACCCCTTAATCCAGTTCCTCATGTGGCGGTGACCCCCAACCATAACATTATTTTCATTGCTACATCACAACTGTCATTTTGCTGTTAGCTTCTCACACTCTGAGGCCTTTCACAGACGCCCTACCTCACACAGAGGCTTCTCTCACAGTCTAAGGCCTACCTCACACTGTGAGGCCTTCTCTCACAGACTAAGACAGTGGTTTTAAGCCTTTTTAATGCCGTGACCCCTTAATACAGCTCCTCATGTTGTGCTGACCCCCAACCATGACATTATTTTTATTGCTACATCACAACTGTCATTTTGCTACTGTTATGAATCGTCATGTAAGGCCTTCTCACATACGTCCTACCTCACACAGAGGCTTCTCTCACAGCCTAAGGCCTACCTCACACTCTGAGGCCTTCTCTCACAGACTAAGACAGTGGTTCTCAACCTTTCTAATGCCGTGACCCCTTAATACAGTTCCTCATGTGGTGGTGACCCCCAACTATAACATTATTTTCATTGCTACATCACAACTATCATTTTGCTGTTAGCTTCTCACACTCTGAGGCCTTCTCACAGATGAAGCCCTACCTCACACAGAGGCTTCTCTCACAGACTAAGACAGTGGTTCTCAACCTTCCTAATGCCTCGACACCTTAATACAGCTCCTCATGTTGTGGTGACCCCCAACTATAACATTATTTTTATTGCTACATCACAACTATCATTTTGCTACTGTTATGAATTATCATGTAAGGCCTTCTCACAGACGCCCTCCCTCACACAGAGGCTTCTCTCACAGTCTAAGGCCTACCTCACACTGTGAGGCCTTCTTTCACAGACTAAGACAGTGGTTCTCAACCTTCCTAATGCCGCAAGATATATTTTAAATGGAAGAAGGGAGGGAGGAAGGAAAGTGTTTTAGAGAGCGGCGGCAGCAAAAACCCGCAAACAGCAAAAATACCGCGAGATATATTTTAAATGGAGAGAGGATTGAGGAGGGAAAGCGCCTCAGAGAGTGGCGATGGCGGCAAAAGACCGCGAAACAGCGAAAATACCTCGAGATATATTTTAAATAGGAGGGAGGATTGAGGAGGGAAAGCGCCTCAGAGTGCGGCGGTGGCAAAAACAGCTAAACAGCGAAAATACGGCGAGATATATTTTAAATTAATATTTTTTGAAAACCGCAAAACAGCGAGTCCACTTAAAGCGAACTGCGAAGTAGCAAGGGAACACTGTACACAGACTGAGCCACAGCAACGCATGGCAAGGGACGGCTAAGCAGAAATATATGTTTTCTGATTATCTTTGGCGACCTCTCTGAAACCACCTCATGACCCCTCCCCAGGGGTCCCAACCCCCAGAATGATTTATTATTATTTTATTATTATTTATAGTATTTCTACCCCGCTCTTCTCACCCCCGCTAACAATGGCAACGATTCGATGCCACAATAATTACAATTATAAAAGCAAAATAAAATCATACAGTATAATACATGTCAGGTTTTACAATGTATTGTAATGTAATATAGCTGAGTCATGCACTGCTAATAGGCTTCTATTGGGAATGCTGAGTCATGCATTAACTGTATATATTAGGGCTGGGCAACCACGGAAAAATTTGTTTCTAAACTCGATTCGTTTTTAGGGGGTTTTTGCGTTTCGATTTTTAAAAGAATTCCGAAATTTTCCTTTAAAAAAGTTCGAAATTTACGAAATTTCGGAAATTACGAAACAATTACGAAACAATTACGAATCGATTCGTTAATGGCGGGCGCGATCGCGCAATACGCTAAAAAAAACCTCTCCCTCTGTTGTTGACTGTTGGTGTGATAATTATATATTTTTTTCACTGATAAAACAAACAGCAACCCTAAAACTTGCACCAGACATGCGGAAATAATAACGAAACGATTTTGAAACAATTACGAAACAATTATGGAAAAATTCGTTTCATTTTTAGTTGCTCCTGAATGGTTCAATATCGCTTCGTTATAAAAAAAATAACGAATTAATAACTAATTACGAAATTAACGAACGAAACCGCCCAGCCCTAGTATATAGAGCTTCATTTGGGGAATGTGTTCTGGCCTAGTCCAGGTGATTGTGAATGATGCAATCCTGGGTTTGAGTTGAGTCAATGAGTTGGGAACCAATCGGTGATTGCTATGTGTAAATGAATTGTATATAAGGAAGTCATGTACAGTGTATATTTCTCCTTGTGCTGTGATGTTGTTCGTCGAAGGCTATATGTAATTAAAAGAACCTGTCTGCTAAGACAAGATATAACTGTATGCTGTGGTAAGTTTGTAGTGTCATCTAGATTGGAGGGGAAAACAATAGTAAAACTGACAATGGCCGGGCATGTGCTCAAGTGTCTGTAAAAGGTTCCAGAGTGACTGCAGGCTGTGGGAGCAGTTGACTGAAAATACTGTGCAGGAAGAAGCTACTGGAAAGCGCTGAAGTTGTGCAACTGATCTGCTGCTGAATTGTGAAGTTAATCTCAACAATACATTAAAACAACATTAATTATCCAATCACAAAGGCATTTCCATTATAACAACTGTCTGGTCCAATTCACTATTCAGGTGAAAACTGAACCACGTCTTCAGTTTTCTTCTGAAAGAAAGGAGGGAGGACGCCGATCTAATTTTGCTGGGGAGCAAATTCCACAGGCGGGAGGTCCAGAGGCGGCCCTAGGTAATTTTCAACAATAAGCAAACAGTATTTTGCCCCCCCCCCCCAAACCAATCACTGATATATATTTTCTGTTCGTCGTGGAAGTTCTGTGTGCCCTATTTGGTTCAATTCCATCATTGGTGGAGTTCAGAATGCTCTTTGATTGTAGGTGAACTATACATCCCAGTAACTACAACTCGCATATGTCAAGGTCTATTTTCTCGCAAGAGCGCCTCAAGAGCACCCCTGGAAAAATAGACCGTACTGCAAAGGCTTACTTTGCGTAAGGGGTTGAGCCACCCCTGTGTGGGATCCTGGGATGTGTAGTGTGGTGGGACGGCAGCATTCTTTGACTACAATCGCCACGATTTCAGAGCATTGAGACATGTTCTTCCTTGTGAGTAACTTCTACCCTTTTGTTTCCCAGCCACATCCTTTTTGGCTGCTTCTGACGTTGCTTGGCAACACACCTCCCAGTTTTCATGTGTGAATTTTTCAAAGACAGCATTTCAACCAGTCTTCTCAACTCTTAATTACAAGAAAGCATCCTAAATAAGCGAGGTTTACTCAGGAAATTACTTTGGAGAACTATTTCAGGTGATTAGCCTCTGCAGACCAAGAAAGTAACTTTCCCAGCTCTACGAGTACTAGGGTTATTGGAGGAGACAGGCAAGGGAGGATGTCACAGACTTCAAGGAGCTGCTGTCAACTTTGTTCTCGTCTTATCTTGAAGAGCAGGGAGCGATTAAGCGGTGGCTTCCTCATGGCCTCCATTTACATTAAATGCGGCTGTAATGCTCTCCGTTCTCACAAATGAATCACCCGTTCCTCTACGGCACCTTTCATCCCAAAGTGATGAACAAAATTGCTGAATCGACTAAAGCGGGTTAACTTCCTTACAAGGTGGATTATAAAATGTAAATCCAGTGCATTTTATATTCCTAAGCTTCCCCATCCACCTGTTCCCCCATTTTTGTAAATGAAGGGGAAAGTGGGGGGGGGGGGGGAAGGAAGCATGTGGATGATTTTGGAATATTTTGGATTTTGGAATTCTGCAGAAGGGATGCTCAAACAGATGACATAATTGGAAGTGGAAGATGGAGAGGCTCCATTCTCCCTGTAAAAACTAGACTAGGAGCAGATTGGCATCGACATAGAAGAACTATTACAATCTGCTCCTAGTCTAGTTTTTACAGGGAGAATGGAGGCTCTCCACCTTCCACTTCCAATTATGTCATCTGTTTGATTTCTATATTGACCATGTATACAGACTTTTCACAGGTTGTTTGAAGAATGTTTTCATAATGAACAAACTGCTGGCCTTGAAAAATTGTGGGCTGGAAGACCACAGTTTGAATCTCTGCTTGGACATGTAGAATCATAGAGTTGGAAGAGACCTTCTGGGCCATCCAGTCCAAGCCCATTCTGCCAAGAAGCAGGAAAATTACATTCAGAGCACTCCCAACAGATGGCCATCCAGCCTCTGGTTAAAAGCCTCCAAAGAAGGAGCCTCCACCACACTCCAGGGCAGAGAGTTCCACTGCTGAACAGCTCTCACAGTCAGTGTGTTATAGTGGTTAAGTTGTTATAGTGGTAAAGTGTGTTAAGTGTGTTATAGTGTGTTAAGTGTGTTAACTTGTTATAGTGGTAAATACAATGTATACATAGTAAGAACAGAGAATTAAATTTAAAGAGGGGGAATTGTCAGTGTGTATTTTATGTATGATGTATGTTTAAATGTAATTTTATGTAGGAGAATAGTGATTGTAATAGATTTGTATGGCCAGGGTGTATGTTTACACAGAAGAGTTAAACAGCAAAAGAATCAAGCTGTGAGAATGTGACTCTGAATTCGTGCTGTGTGAAGAATTAGGGAGTGTCAGAGATAACTCCTTTCCAGCTGCAGTTTGTCTTTAGTGCCTATCTTTTTCGCTTTGTGTTCTTCT